ATACAGTCGGGCTTTGGGCGAAGAGGTTCGAAAGCTGTAAGATGAAGGAGATCCACATTGTGGCTTGACCCCGAATATTCCCAAAACCACTCGACATGGCTGAATGGTGATGTTAGGGCTCTGGAGGCCGTTTACAGCCTCGGCTGTGCCCTGGGCCCCTATAACCCCACACATAAGAAGGATCGTTAAACTTGCGGATGGACCCTATAACTTCAAACGAAGAAACCCTAAACCCCGACAGCTCGAAACAGCCCAGGCACAAAGTAGCGAAACGATTCGTCAAGCGCGGGAACCTGCGAGAAGGCTTCCCGCTTCAGGGCTTCAAAGTCACCCTTCAGGTCTGCTGATGAGCTTCGAAACCTTTATGTAAAATGACGGGAGCGCAGCTTGAATTACTTTGATCTTAAGTCAAGAAAGTCCCCACGCTGATACTTACACGCGGAAACGATGAAGCCTAGCTGCACCGTCCAAATGCTTCCATTTCTGCAGGGATTGGTAATTGGATTAAGCCTGCTCAAACCTCCGAGTTGGTGCCATTCACACGGCTTGAGTTAAACTTGAGGCGTCGAAGGTTTCACAATCTCGCTTTGTCTGGAACAGCCATGGCTTTCAATCAAACCCCCAAAAGGGCACCCCTCCGTGCCTCTGTGGGCTTTGCACGGGGCGCGAGGCTAGCGATGACGGCTCCTGTGGGAGAGGTTGGATGGCTAGGGGCCATCAGCATGTCAGACCCTTAATGACCCTCATAGTTCTATAAGCTTGGCTCTTTGCAGAATATGGCTTTCGAATTTGACTCATTTTCTCGAGGCGTACTTGCCCTCATCCTGGCTTGAAGTTCAAATTTCTGCTTGGCCGCCATGGCCTGGGGTTTGTGCTTCCTCAACAACCTAACAAAATCTCGTCACATGGGGTCGACACTTGAGTGACGGGCCGCTGCACCCTGAAGATCCCAACCCCCCCCCTCCCCCCCTCCAAAAAAAAACCATCAAACCCTTACAAAGCCACTATACAATCATGCCGTGCCCCACCAGCAGCATATACAAGCCACCATCGAGGCCGCAAAGAACTACGAAAAAACAGCAACGAAAGACACGCAGGTCAAATCCCAGCACGTGGCAAGCATGTAGGTATCATACATTTACATACATACATACACACATACATTGGACATACACACACATACATACATACATACATACATACATACATACATTTAGTTACATACATACATACGTACGTACATACATCCATGCATGCATGCATACATGCGTACAGCAGGAATAGGAAAAGCCCGTGGCCTTGCGCCTCCAGGGCAGCCACGGAGAAGCCGGGCTTTGGCTGAGCGGCTTGGCACTTCCTGGGCGTTCATCCGGACATGCTGCGGGATCTTGGCCTTGTGGAGCTTCGAAAGCGTCTGATGGGAATAAGGGTGCTTTTACACAATTTCATTATGGTATTTTCCGCCGTCATGCCTCGCACTATCTACAGGACTGCGTGATGTTTTTGTTTTTGTAACAGAGGTTGGCTTGCATGAGGGTTTTTCAATTCTCGGCTTTTGGGCTTGCATGTGGTACTTCGGGTTTGGATTTTTTGGGAAGAGGATGTGGCTCTGGAATCTCCTATGTACAGTTTAGGGTCTGTCTGCGGTCTAGGATAAGAACGTGCGGTTGCAGTACTAGCAGAAGTCTGACATCGTAAGTTGTACAGAATCAATCATGCGGGAGTTTCCCAAAATAGGGGGACCCCAATATAGTACCCCGAATTGTAGGATCCTTATTATAAGGACCCCAAAATGATGTAATATAATGTACCCCTAATTTTCGGAAACAATCATGTATGTTTCGCTGGGCCAAGGTTCATGCTCAGCTTCAGGAGCTCCTGCAACACGTGCGGCAGCTTCCGGATCTCCTCTACGTCCTGCAAGAGCCGGGAAACAAAGAGACCGCAAAATCCTCCAAAAGCTCTTTCAAACTGGAAAGCTATGAAAAAACACTACAATTACAATAAAACAGAGCTCGAGACCTCGGAAGAAACATTCTAGAAGAACATCAGACTATCCCGTGGCCTCTGTCGTCCCCATGTCTTTGATGGCATGAAGCCTCAGCAGGCGCGGTGAGGAAGGCAGGAGTTGGGAATGGAGAACCGTGCAGGGGGGGATGGAACCAAGTAAGGGTTCAGGGCGTCGGCTTGGGGAATTTTAGCACGGCTGGCGCCTGGCTGGACTCCGAGTCCAAGATATTAGCTGGTCTAGGGGTGTCTTGAAGATGAAGGGCGAAGCCTGCAATGATCGGATTCCCGTTTCAATCCTTGTCGAGGGGACGGGTTTCATAGATAAGGGTCTACATGGTAACATATGGTAACTGTAAACACTCCCACCTGTGCACCTACACCCTGAAAATTGCTACCCCTGACCACAGCCCTGATCCCTGGTTTCTTGGTTCCCACACACACCCTGCATGCCGCGATCTCCGAGCACGATCGGCGGATGCTCGAAGAGGCGGGTGGCCTGCAAAGGCTGCAGCTGCCAAGAACATGAGCCCGAAAAGCTTCCACTCCTCCATGCTTTGGAAGTCTGACCCCCGAAATGCCTGTTAGATTCACGCAGGGCAGCAAGTTTTGAACCCTGGCCAAGCGCCCCAAAATTTCCTAAATCTTGGTCTCCCGAACCCTAGATCCCTCAAATGAAGTCAGGCGAGCTTTGCCAAATGCTCCCGCATCCTGCCTCGGGAAGTGCGTGGATGCACGCCAATGCCTGGGCTTCAGTAAACTCCTACCCTTCCAAAACCCCAATGCATCAAAAGATGGACTTCTATACATTCCAACAGACATGCAAGCATGCATGAATACCATACCATACCATACCTTAACTGACCTGACCTGACCTGACGGGACATGCTATGACATGACATTGCATGCGTGCATACATGTACATGCATATTGCGTATGCGTACATGCACCTACGTACGCAGACATGTACATAGACATGCATGCGGACATAGATATACGCATAGTGCCATACCTACATACACACCCACCTACATACATACATACATACATACATACATACATACAGACATACATACAGACATACATACAGACAGACATACAAACATACAAACATACATAAAAAAGATGCATACATACGTACATACATGTCATGCATACATGCTTACATGCATACATGCATACATGCATACATACATATACACACCTGCACTCACATCAGCCTACTTGTTGACTGCTTGATATCTTTACACCTTGTTGTGGATATACCTCGACAGCTTCCGGCAGATAAGCATGAATCCTATAAACCCTAAACCCTAAACCCACAACCTTCAACCCTATAGCCTCAACGACTCCCCGCCACCCCGCCCGCAGTGGCCCGCACCTGGCCCGCGTGCTCCTCGAGGCGGCCACCTCTACTTAAAGGATCATGGGACTTAGTAACTAGGGTTATAATTAGGGTAACTATACTTATAACCCCATTTAGGGTACTTATAACCTTACTTACTAAATCCCATGATCCTCCAAGTACAAGGGTTCCTTTTTAAACGGGCCTATCGGGGCTACAATCAGGGATCTATAACGGTACTCTAGAATAGGGTTTTTGGGGCTCGTTTAAGGGTTCTTTGACGGGTTCTCGATGAGGATACTATGGTATAGGGGCCTTAATAATTAGAATACGGTTTCGGGATGTTTTGGGGCATATTTTATTACAGCCCATAGCTTTAGTAAGGAACCAATAGGAATAATGTTGTTGATCATGTCGGCCCCTAGATTAGGTTAGGGTTACGGGTCATAGATCTTGAGGCATTGATGCCTAAGATTTAGGGTCATGGTCGAAACGGACTTGAGGCCACAAATCCACGGAAAAACTCAGTGACAGAGAAAAGACTCGGGGCTGGAGGGCAAGTCAGAAAGCCTGCACTCAGTCGCACAAACCTCCAATCCAATGGCTTTGCAAGACACACGGGACTTTGAGAAAATGAGGGACCCGATTCTACCCACTTCAAGGAAGGAGAGTATTGCAAGACCCCCTAAACAACTGCACCAATGATTTTGAGAAGCTCCCCAAAGTCTGCGGATGCTTCGCCGACCGAACCTTGTCCAAGCTGCATTGCGGCCTGCATGAGCACACACATTTTGGGGGCTTGGGGCACAGGGTGAGTAGGGTTTCGGGTTTAGGGCTGCATGAATCGGAGCGTCGAGCCTTCCCCGATTCTGCAGACCTTCGAGAGAATCGCGAGAAGCCGCGCAGAGTGGCAGAATCCTTTCAGTCTTTCAAGGCCCAACCCCCTAAACTTCGGAAAAAAAAAGACCAACAATCGTTTTAGCGGAAGCCGATCTACTATGGGTAGTCAACCCTGCAACAACCTGAACGCTAAAGCCTAAACCCTAAATCCCCTAAATCCCCTAAACCCCAACCCGAGACCCCAGAGCCCATCAGAAACAGATCCGATCGCCTCGAGAGCAGCAAGGAGATTCCCCTGCTCCCGGAGCTGCTGCAAAGCGTTGACCCGTCCAGCCTCCGGGTGAGTGAAGGGCCTTAGGGCCTTGAACGGTTTTGGGTTCAGGGTCTAGAGTTTAGAGTTTAAGGTACATGGGGCTCACCTCGACCCGTCGAATTCTTCAACTTTTGGCTTAGGGTCTTTGTCTCCGGTTCAGCGGGGTTCTGGGAGGGCACTTCGAAGGTCAACTGCAAAGAAACTGAATGCTTCGACCAGTGTTCCAGGACGTTCAACTACGCTGATTGGTGTCGTACAATCAGGCACACATGCAAACCGCAACGCGGCAGATGTGCATACCGGTGAATGCACATGTGTGACATCTGATATGCACGAGTGTGATGTACACATGCATGTACACTGTACACCCTGACATAGACAAACATATGTTCACGCTCATGCCTGCACCACCGCATCGCAGCTGCCGAAGTACATGCTACAAGAGACCAGGTGAAGCTTCAACTACCTACGACTTTCAGAATATGGCCATGCTAACTATATACACGTCTGCACTTCGAGGTTAAAGTGGCTCGGATTCCCTGCCTTCGTGAGCCCAATGACGGTGACGCAGCAAGACTGCGCCGTCTTGACATCCTGCAGAGCTCGGGAGGCGGAAGATCAGCTTTGCGCTACACTTGGAGGTTCAGGGGTAGTTATAAGTGGGGTTATCATTGGGGTAACCATAATGATAACCCATATTCGGAAACTTATATAAGCCCGCTTATAACCAATTACCCACGAACCTCTAATTAAACCCTGCTACAAGTGGCCTCTGTTTCACCAGATCGAAAGCCCCCGAACAAAATCCCGGCCTTATGCATAAGAGTGGTTTCGAAGGCTTCAGGGGACCCTGAGCAGCCACGTCTTTAGGCGGAGATTTGCTCCTGGATCGCCAATCCACGTTAAAACCCGGCGTTCAGTGTACTTGGAGGATCATGGGACTTAGTAAGTAACGTTATAAGTACCTCAATTGGGGTTATAAGTTATAAGTATATAGTTACCCTAATTATAACCCTAGGTACTACAAGTAAGTGCCATGATCCTTTAAGCAAGTTTGTGGCCCGGCTTGAAACTCTGATCGAACAAGCAGCACCGCCACGAACGGCAGCATCACTGCCTAGAACCTCCATCTACCCTCTATTAGACCCTAAATGCCCCTTATTTGGGACCATATACCCCTCTTTGAGGGTACAAGGAGGGTCCTGGTGTTGTCATCCAAAACCCAAATGCCTGCAACTCTTTGAAACCCCTAGGAGACCCTGCTCATCATTCACCCCGTGAGAAGGGTTTAGGGGTTTAGGGTTTAGGGTTTAGGGTTTAGGGTTTAGGGGTTTAGGGTTTAGGGTTTAGGGGTTTAGGGTTTAGGGTTTAGGGGTTTAGGGGTTTAGGGTTTAGGGTTTAGGGTTTAGGGTTTAGGGTTTAGGGTTTAGGGTTTAGGGTTTAGGGTTAATCCATATGCCCTACTGAAGCTTCTCACAGACCCTCGCATGCCTGCACCCCGACATCCAAAAAATTCTGTGATGATCACATAACAAAACACTAAGTAACCCCTAAACCCTAAACCCTTACAAAACGCAAACCTCTAAGTCCTATATAGACACCCGAAATCGAAGCAATCCTGAAGCCCTACTACACGGTGTCCCGCTACGTTGCGCCTGCGCTCTCACGCTCACTTCGAGAGCTGCGGAGACCAGGCGCGCGCCGCCTAGTCTGAGCCTGGCATCTGAGGACAGACGGGGTTTTGGGCTTAGGGTTGAGGGAAACGTGCCACAATCTGTAGCGTTTAGCGAAACTGGTTTGATATCATGTTTGTTGACAGTTTAGGTTTATATGGTATGTGCGACCCGCTGGTTATTGGATTGCCGTTCCCAGAATACCGATACGCTGATAAGCTCTGTCATCTCAGCAATATATTACCACTTAAAACCACTCCGGCTCGCGCTGTTTATATCCCTTCCCTGCTGAACCATCTTGCCCAACTGGAATTCACGGAGCACAATCCTTGCAAAGTAGAAAACCCTACACCCTAAACCCAACCCGGAAGGAGCCCGAGCTTCCAAGCACTCGAATCTGAAACGCTAGCAGCTCGCAGCAGTGGTTTGCCGGACAATTGTAGACCTTCTTAAACCGGAACCACAGACACACAACAAAAAAGAAACCATAGCTTATCTCTCCGTATGTTATAATCTCAGCAGATCAGCCCGAACCCTCGGAAAGCGTGCCGGTCCCACAGTTCTCCACTCAGCCCAGGGTTTTCGGCCATTTCCTGCTAACTGCAGAGCCGGGTAAGTGGATTACACTCAGAATCATATATATATATATATATGTATGTATGTAATGTTAGGCATGTACATATGTGCATACACACACATATATACACATATATATATATATATATATATATATACATACTATGCACACACACTGTGTGTATTTCATATATATATATATATATATATATATATATATAGACACATATGTATGTACACTCAGTCATTTATGCACTTGCGTGTTCAGCTATCAGCTCGTGTCTTTACATGTTGGCTTATCAAACTAGTTATTAAGTTGCCTCGTGACTTATCTCACTGCCCGAGATGCTTGAAGGTCCAAGGGTGGGGCTTTAAGGAATTTTGCGAGATCTCCTAGGGCAATACGTTTGAGCTACATCTTGGGCCTCTGCCAGGTCTCTTAATTCAGGCTCAATCCAGGCCCCGTGCGCTTGCTGGAGGGCGGTGGGGCTGGAGGGTTTAGGGTTTAGGGTTTAGGGTTGTTTAGGGTTTAGGGTTTAGGGAGGAGACTTGCAAGGCCCAGTATCCAAAAGCAAAAACCGGCAAATCGAAACACGAAAAAGCAGCCGCTGCGTCGCCTCGAAGAGGGACATGGCCAGATAGAGAGTATCCTCTGAAGGATTCTGAAGGCTCTCACCCTCCTACCTCTCACGTCTCATAGTCTACATTCCTTGTTGGCTCATGCATTAAACACATGCACTGATCCTGACTTTTTCTGTGCTGGGGTGAACCTGAGATAACCCATGCTGTAATTACCAGGGTGCAAAACTTGAAAACAGAAACATCTTTATCCTTTCGACTTACTAGACCCCTGCAGCAGTCCGGTGAAAGTGCGGCGATGTGTTGCGCGATCGCAGCCACCAGTGCCGGCGCCTTCCATAGCATGGCTCAGGGGTTGAGTCACGAAGGCGAATGTCAGCCACGAACCCTTCAACCTTCGCTTTTTTGGCAGACCATCTCAATGTCGGCCTCCTGCTTCGGCTGACTTTGGCCATCTTTCCAGCAGGCGCTGTCCTGCTCCAAGTGTGCGTACAGATACATATACATATTCATATGGCTGGTGCGTAGGTGTGTATATATATGTACAGAGAGAGAGAGAGAGAGAGAGAGAGAGAGAGAGAGAGAGAGAGAGAGAGAGAGAGAGAGACAGAGAGAGAAAGAGAGAGAAAGAGAGAGAGAGAGACAGACAGACAGACATAAACCCTAAACCCTAGGTCCTTCTGAATGACTCGGAACACTGACGCCACGACGCAGTTTGGCAGCTTCGGCTGCTCTGCTCCTTAGGCTGCAAAACGAAAGAGAGAGAATGTCAAGAGCCCATTGAGAAGAAAGCCAGTCTGAGTCGAACTCCCTGAACCCCACTTCCGTCAAGAACTGCCCCTTAAGGCACACTACGACGGTCACAGCAAGAGAAACTCCAAGAGCTGAGGCTCCAAAACCTGAAGCCCTCACCCGGCCGGAATAGCTTAGCTTCGCACCTAGACCATAAAGCCCTCAACCGTAAAGGCTCGAGCCTGTGCACTCCTTCACAAGTGCAGTGGCACCATGTGAGATCTAGATACATCTGGCAAGTACAGAGTGCAGAGCATAGTAGAACACAAGGTCTTCATCAAAATGACGACAGCCAGTCTCGACAAAGTCGGAGGGGTGCGCGCCATGCGGCCTTCCTTCTCCTAAGGGTTTATGCTCTTATAGGCTCCATTGCATTCGGTTCCGGCTACCGAAAGACCGCACGACTGCCGAGGCTCTGAGCAAAAGAAGCAAGCCACTGGGGCCGGCGACCATGCCTTGGAAGGGGAGGTGCTCTGGCTCGGGCCTGAGGGGAACCAGAGTTTTGAGGGCTCCTTCATGTGGAGGCTTCTAGGTTCGCAGGCTGATGAATAGCTGTTTCTGTCTATAGAATCATAGAATTAAACAAACAGGTCATCTGCAGCCAACATCCCCTTTGCTATGCAGGCATTTGCTCACACGGGGAAGGGTTGAAGAAGGCTGGTACTCCGGTACTCGTGAAGCCCCTGAAGCTGAAACAGCCTGCTGGCTGCCCACGGTTTAGGGTTTAGGGTTTGGGTTTAGGGTTTAGGGTTCTGGTGAAGGGCTTTGAAGGAAGCATTTGCAGGGCTGAGCAACTGCGTCAAAGTTTGCTTGCAAGGCTCTGCCTTATTGCAAACGAGAAGGAGCTCGACTCCTGAAAGGCTTTGGCTAAGCTCTGAACATCGAAACCTTACATCCCAAAAAAAACCAGCCCTGCACTCCAGGACTCCGTAAAACCGCCTTTGGACCCGGAGCGCGACAAGAAATCCTCAAGGGATGCCTCAGTGTCCTGTCGTAGAAACAACCAGCAGAGACGAGACGTGGAGTAAAGCAGGTGGATGATTTACGCAACCACCCTGCAAAGCAAAGCAAAGCTCCAGCAAAGGGTTTGCAGTCGGGTCCTCGCCTCTTTTGAATCGTTCATAAAGCTGAGTCGCGCATGAGCCAGGTGCAGCAGTCGACGTGGTCCTTGTGGCTGCTGAAGGCCTGAGATGAAACTCGCAGCTGGGAGCCTTGCCGCTCCAAACCTCCTTCGCCATTCCAGTTCCTAATGCCGGAAAGAGTAAGGCCCTCAGAGAGCTTGCAGCTTTGCACTCCGAGCCCTTGCTTATCCGTCAGGGAAGCCAGACTCGGCACGCGATGCCCGATCCTCAAGAGCCAAGAGAGCCCAACCACGTCATTTACATGGAAGTGCTTCTTTGATGGGGAACCTCCAGAAAACCTCTCGTGATACTGACATACGCTAACCTTCCGCTCTTGCTCGAGATTAACTCTCTGAAGGCTTCCTTGCTACACCAGCCGAAGGGCCACAAGGGCGCGGTGGAGTGCCTGCACACCACCCGCCTGCAAAAGCTTGGAATTCGACGATGCCAAGACTCTATGTGGTCTGACACGGTAACTAGACTTCCTACAGATTGGGCAGTTAGAACCAGCTGGAGCTTTCACCGCTTGACGGGCCGAACGATCATGCAGCATTACAACGCTAGGTAGTGAAAACACAGATGTGATGTTGCCCCGGGATGCGCAGAACTGAAGCGGATTTGCTTCAGAGTTTAGAGAGTGGGACGCTTGCAAGCGTCGGAATGACATGTACAGATGCTCACGATTTGCGTGATTTGGGTGTTTCGGAATCTATGCAAGCTCAGAGCCAGTCGAGAGTCATTTTGTGGCTTTCAACACCAAGAGTGATTGCGATGTTCTGCGGGTTTCATCAAGGCAAGGAAGCGATGATAAGACGCATACGAAGAAGAATCCAAACCTGGACTCTGCCAAATTGGCTCCGGCTCTTAACTGCGAGATACCAATGCTCTTTCCTCAAAGCTCACTGATCCCAAGTCACTCCACAACAAACCCTAACTACTCCAACTCTCTGCAACGGCCCAAACACCAAACGTAGAATGAAAAGATGCAGGAGCACCCACAGGACCTGCGCAATCCATTCCGCAGCGGCCGGGTTGCTGTGTGCCTTCGGATATCGCAAAAAAATTGGGGCCTGGGGCAACTTCTCGAGGGCTTATCCACACCTGAGACAAAGACGCGAAAACGAGGAAGCCGAAGCGACCCCAAGCCACGCACATCCCTCACCCGAAAAGAAGTTAATCCTGGACTGATGTGAATTATATGCCCTAGTCGTGGACCTGAGTGAAAAAGACGCTGAAGCATCAAGCTTCATCTCAGTAACTAGAACAGGGTCTTGGTCTTGGTGGTTCCTTATCATAATTATAGTATAATATACTCACAAACCCTATTCTGATTATTAGTACCCGTATAACGTTCTGTGAAGGAGCCCTATTCTAACTATTCTTCTGCACTAAGCCGGTCTTGCAGCTAATTTGCTTGGAGGTTTCAGTGCCCGGAGTTCAAAGGCCTGTGCCATTTATAGGCGTATATTATACTATAATTAGGGCCTTAATAATTAGAAGGGGTTTTGGGGTCCATTATATTTTAAAGATAAGAAGGAGCCCCCAACAATCATGCCGGGTCGCAATTTCATTCAGCGCCCAGACGGCGTTGAGGCACACAGCAGGCTCCTGGTCCGTCGTCCCCACAGCCTCTGCAAGGCAGCTTGAGGGAAAGATTGCGTGTCTGTCTGTGTGTGTGTGTGTGTGTAAACTAGAAAATACAAGAATATTATACCAGCTAGACTATACTACAAGGTACGAAAATATTTGTTACCATCCCTGTCGGCAGAGATGCTGCTAAACTCAGATTCTGTCTCGTGAGCCTCCACCAGGAGCTTGACGCACTTTTGTACGCCTGCCTGGCAGATGCAGGAGAAAAAGCTCCAGGACACGCACAACACTAGCGCCCACACACACACACACACCACCCTAAGACAGCCACAAGTACGTGCGGAGAAGCACGCATTCATGCGCCCACACACACACACACACACACACGCACACGCACACGCACACGCACACGCACACGCACACGCACACACGCACACACGCACACACGCACACAAACACACATACACACACACACACACACACACACAAACACACACACACACACACACACAAACACACACACACACACACACACAAACACACACACACACACACACACACACCCGCGCGCGCACATCTACGCGAATGTATGATTGTGGATATATATCTAGCACAGGCAGGTATATGGGCAGGTGGGCAGGACACAGGTAGGTGAGTAGGTGGACAGGTAGCTAGGTTGTGCAACCAGTCTAGTGCAACCAGTCTACCTGACCAGGCACACGACTGCAGCATGGCTTTCCCTCCCACACCCTTCTCGGCCAAAGGGGCCTGACACTGCAGCAGCGCGTTGATGACCAGCTGAGCCATCGCCTTCGGCGGCATGCAGCGTCAGAGATTTGGGGTCTTTGCTTTCAGCATAGGCATTGCATATGTTCTGGAGCCTCGTACTCTGGGCATTCCGGGTGTTTGAACAAAGTCGGAAGGGACTTGTACCGTGCTGGATTTGCAGGCTGCGTATTTTCAAGGAGAAGGGTTTCGGTCGCATGAAGCTCAATTCAGGCTAGCGGGCTGTGGCCTGACATAGTAGACTTCAAGAGATGTCAAGACTGTGAGGAGCTAGAAACTCGCCTCACGCAGAGGCGCATGGCTGAGATCTGGCACCAGCTTCACCAGCTGGAGGAGCGCGCTTGGGCCTCGTTCGCGCTGGGGGCTTTCAAGGCAGCTCCACACCTCTGAGTTCGAAAGGGTGTTGGGCCGAAGTGCTGAGACAAGGCTTCCCAGATGAACTGACACATCGACAAGTTGGTCTCTCTCCTTTAAGAACCTCCGGCCATCACGGATCAGAATCCTGAAGCCGTCGAAGCGGTGCCTCCTTTCGCCGCCTCGTCGTGCAAGGCGCCTGTACATGCAAAAGAGAGGGGCTTTGCTCCGCTCGCCGTTCTTGGTTTTGGAATGTGCGAACAGTGTCATCATGGAAAAGAAGCGCCCACAACGCGGCTCGAGATCAAGCTTTACGGTGACAAGGTTCAAAGGATGTTTCCGTGTGTACGCAAATGCGCAAATACATACACACATACACGCGCATATACACACATACACTGAAATGCACCAAACAGACTTACATACATACATACATACACACATACATACATACATACATACATACATACATACATACAGGCTAACTTACTTACATACTACACATACATACACATGCGTACATATGCATACACATCACATTACATGAGTCTTGCATTCATTACATCAAACATGACGTGACATGGAATGACATGACTTGACCTGTCTGACATGACATGGCATGAAATTATGTTGAAGTACGCTGCAGTGCAGTACATTACATTACGTTCATGTGTACACATACAGCCACACAAGAATCCTCTCATGGACAACCTCCGGTGCCTGAAGAGAGACGTCTCTTTGCTACCCCGCATCCTAGCCACGCACAGCAACTCCAGTGCCTAAGTCTCACACCCGGAATCGCCTGCAGCAGCCATGCCCACACCAGCCAAAAGGGCGTCGTGCCCATGCTTCCGCTTCGCTAGTTAGTCTAGATTGCTAGTGTTGTTGTTGTTGGACTGCAAGCTGACTCTCTACGTTATCCTCAGAGCGAACCTTGATTCATGAATACTCATGAACGCTTGATCTTGAGTCTCACCATATACTGGCCACTTAGCTACAGCCACCCCCCCGCTCATATGAGCTACAGCCGGAAGAGATGCCTGCACCGAGCAAAGTAAGCACAATTTCTTGCTCCAACTGATCCCTGCCAACATCAGCAAGACTCAAAAACGGCAATCAGACTATTATAGTTGTCGTAGAATCACACAGCAATCGCAACACCAACGATAACAAAACATCGAGCGAAAAGTGCTATAAACTTAGTGAACACGGTCATTGTTCTACGCAAATTTCGTTTGCATGAGCCTGAATCAGGAATGAAGCTCGTAGGAGCCCTGTTGACCCTCTCCACACCACTGCCAAAGGCCGTGCTGACCCGCAGCCAGTGCGCCAACGGCGGCACTTCCTCCTGGCTCTTCGGCTCTTGAAAAGCGGGCAGCTACTTGGTGGATCATGGGACTTTGTAAGTAAGGATATAGGTACCTTAACTGGGGTTATAAGTATAGTTACCCTGGTTTTTAACCCTAGTTACTAAGTCCCATGACCTTTTAAGTACTTCTCTGGCTGCGCCTCCGACCTCGGGGAGCTTTGGTGCGCTTTAGAGTCTAGACAAGCCTTAGGACTTCGGGAGAGGAGCCACTCCCACTCCGGGCTCTGCAACTGGGATCACGGCCAATACCCTCACGTTAGGCTTAAGGGGTTTTGACATGAAGCGGAGCGAAGGCAAATCCTTTGACCCTGCACTCCTCAACAAAGCTCGTACACGAGTGTACTGCCGGGGCTTTGGGAAATCAGGTCTCGAAGCCCCGCACACAACTCAAACCATGATAAACCATATACCTAACACTACAAGAGTCGGCACCTCGTCGTCGTCGTCCCAGAAAGGACCTCGGGAGGACAGGGTATTCGATCCTCAAGTGGGCCTGTCAGTAATCGTACGTACTGTAACTTTAGTTCTAAACCTAGTGCTGTAGGCAATCATCGCAAGTACAGTAAACATGCTTCTGGCCCTAGGCAGGCTGGGGTCATTCGAGCAAGCATAAGCGATGCTCTACAAGCTTGATCGGCATCACAAGCTACGGTTGGATTCTGGATAAGGAATCGAGGGATGGCCCGTTTCGAAAGGGAGGACGAATATTGCACAGGCCTACAACTGCACCCAGGACATTCTGCTCTATCCGAGCCCTCTCTCAAATGTGAAGCTCAGCTGAATCATGGCTGAAACCGCCACCCGCACGTCTTTCCGTCGCGGCACTAGCGACCCAAAGTTGGGGCATGGCTCCTGCGCTGAAGCCGATGACATTGGCCTTTTGAGAGGTATAACAAACCTTCGGATTTGGATATGGGGCTGGCTTCTGGTTAAGCTGTAGACCTGTTTTTCGGATTTAGGCACGACGGTGACGAAGCATGTCCTGATCTGCCCCGGCGGAAAATTATGGCATGCAGACTACTTCATTGAGTAATCAGACCAACGAATTGAGGGGCCGAGAAACTCAGGCAGCCGTAAAGACTCTGTTATTTTTGTTCGTGCATCGTGATGCTACCGCTCCTGTCGTGTGAGTGTTGTGGATGGTGATGATGATGGTGATGAGGATGATGATGATGATGACTATGATGACCATGAAGATGAAGGTGAAGGTCAAGGGCAAGATGCTCACAAAGCTAAAGGGAAACCTAAAGCTGAAGACGATGATTAATATGAGAAAGATGACGATGATGGTGATGAGGAGGAGGAGGAGGAGGAGGAGGAGCAGGGTGACAATGACGATGACGATGACGATGGTGACGATGACGAGGACGATGATGATGATGATCATCATCATCATGATGATGACCGAGGTATGACCATCCTGGCATAGACTATGACAGTGACCGTGGTAAGATGACAACGAGCTCGTCATGCTAATAAAGAAGAAGACGATTTTGAGGAGGATGAGGAGGAGTAGGAGGAGGAGGAGGAGGAGGAGGGCGGTCAGTGCTGGTCCTGACGATGCACTGGTAGTCTGCTTGTAGCACGGAAGAAAGTCTTGCGTTTGTTGTCGATGATGACCATGATGATGCAGATGATGATGATGATGATGATGATGATGATGATGATGATGATGATGATGATGGTGTTGATGATGGTGATGATGATGATGACGATGACATGACGATGACCATAACGACGATGACGATCATGATCAAAGCCATGATGGCGGTAGCAGAAAGGCGCGAGGACACTTCTGATGAAATCGCAGCTTGACATCTCCTCCTTCATAATTCCTTCCACCACAGTTCAATAGCGTCTGAACCATGAACATTTTGGAAAGCTGAACAACTCGACAACCAGGACCAATTCACGACAACAACCTCAAGGCTCTCTAGTCGGCTTGCGGGTGTTTGCAGCGGCCCCTCCTGCAAGGATATTCTTCGGTCTGCGTGACGTTGACACTTCGTGTTGCGAAGGTCCGCATCAGTCAATAAGCAGCACAGAACCTAACTTCTTAAACTATGCAGATCCTCAGATGACTTGAAGAAGAATACGTGCACCATCGTCTTGCCTAAAGAGAACAATCAAGACGGAAACTCGACTTATCTGCGCGTTGACTAATAATGCCAATTATATTGCTCCAGCCAACGATGCAGATAATTATGGGCTTGCCACGGCCACGAGTCATTTTCACCGAGAGTCTTCGGTTCCGTTCTGCTGGGCGACTCGAGCGCATTCCGGTGAAACTTGTGCACGCCAACGTCCCCAGCGTTCCGCAGACAAGCTGCTGCCTCCAAATCTAGTTTATTGCATTTTTGTCATTGCAGATTATGCCCTCGTGGGATGCAAAGGGCGTATCATAGGCGAAGATATGTCACCATGTTGAGGTCTACAGAAGCCTTCCTATGCAGCTTGTGATGTTGCACTACCCGCTGGAGAAAACACAAGACCCCGGTGACGACGGCAAGGGACACCCGGCGAACATAAAGAGTCGTGGCTGCAGCCATCGAAGTGGGAGCTTGCGACCGCATGCTACTGGCTGCCACTGTCCATTTTCTCTCAAACCTGTTGTGAAACGGCCTGCAAGGTCATCTAGCGACCACCTGCGACCGAAGATCAAGCTGAGTGAGAGCAATCGAAACGGTTAGTGAAGGGGCCCGGGTGGCATGGCTTCGGAAGTGCTCTGTGGCATGCCTACTTCTGCCTTACAGCTCCAAAAATGAACCCGACAAGCCCCTAAATCCCAACTCCCATTCACGACAGTGGGATCTAATCAAGCCGGTCTGGCGTCGTCCGGGCTGTCGTCACCCCAGCCATTGGAGACCCACCTGAGCCACTCGTTCCATGTTTTCCAACACTAAAGGAAACCGGCTCAGGAACCAGGACTGAAGGTGCGAGAGGGTGTCCTGTTTGCGATCAGCCCAACCCGAGAGAACTACAGAAATCAAGAGACTCTTAATGGCTTGGCAGGCTCCTGGCTGCGCAGTTGGCCTGACTCTGCTCTGGGCACCCCGAACGTGGTGACAGACCCCAGATCACATGAATGTGCGTGGTACAGTAGAAGAGGCGAACCGAGACCACTCTCCCCGAAAACGATTGTGAAGGCCCAAGAATGAGGAGCTCCGCAGGGCCGAAAGTTGTCAATGACCCTCCGACTGACACCAAGCCGCGTCGTCGCACCGTGCCAACCGGCCTGGCAATGGTTTAGACTTCCGAATCTGTACAACTCCAAATCCCCAGCACGTGATTAAAACGCCCGATCACCCGGCTTCGGCTGTCGTGAGTTCCTTCCAAGAGGCTTGCCCGGTCAAAAAGTTGCGTGCGAAAGGTACTACCCTCTGCTATCTACACTTGGCCTCCATCTACGCATTGTTTGTGGTTCCCTTGACTTTCGCATCAAATGCTTGCGAATCTTCGCTTGCTGCCTCCACAGGCAGTACTACGAAGGCATTCTACCCGTCGCCCTCTTTCCAAAGTCTAACTGGCGCCTGCAGAAGGATCTCTTTGTCCGACTTCAATGACTTGTCCGCGTACCTAAGACTGGCCAGAGGTGACATGAGAAGACACGACGACATGGAGATGATGACGATGATGGTGATGACGATGATGGTGATGACGATGGTGGTGATGACGATGGTGGTGATGACGATGGTGGTGCTGGTGATGCTGATGGTGACGATGGTGATGATGATGATGATAACGATGATGATGATGATAATGTGATGACCAACACCAAGCTAGCCACAGCATGGAGTGGTCAGCATGACACCCTGAAACCACACAGATCGGGGCATTTTCAACCCAGTCGCAAGACCAGATAGCGAATATGCCTGGCAAACCTCTCCAAGACCTTAACACTTCGATCAAAAACATCCTCAACATCAGCAGAGCCAAAAATCAAGTCCGGGCACCGAAGAGCAGAGCCCTTGCAGGAAACCGCTGCCATGACCACCTAAGCAGGGTTCACGAACGAGGCCAATTTTTACGGTCTGGGTATTGTATGGTTTTGCACCAAACCTCCGAGACCTTGACTTTCTTGCAGACGGGAGCTACTCGAAATCAAGGGACCCCTTTTTACGGATCTCTCTGCGCCAAATCATTGCTTCCGGGCCTGGCTTGAGGGATTGCTGCTACAAGGAGGGACGTTTTTCTGACAGACTCTTCCCCTCGGTGAGTCAAGTGTTGGCATGCCTTGGCTTGGTCGAACCTCAATTAACAGAACGCTTCCATAGGGCTCCAGTGGCAGGATGTCGAAATTGAGGCACCGGTAAGGGAAGGCGAGCCGCTTGGCTGTAAAGACCCCTGCCCGTCCTCGTTGCTTCTGGTTAGAAGTTAGAACGATGGCCCCAGCCGTGCATCATATCCCAAACCCGAAGGACGCCCGACTTTCATAATCTAACAACG